GGAAATCTAGTTGGAATAACAGAGAAATTCACAGTTATAGTGTGAAATTCAGATTCGACGATGAGTAGATGAAAATCAGTGAAAACTAGAAGTATAAAATACAGAAATCACGATCTTAGAATCGTGAGGATGGTAGCTGAAGGGCAAGGAGGAGGTTTTTTTCAACCCCTGTCAGTCTGCCGCACAATTTCTCTCTCTCTCTCTTTCTTTTTTTTTTTTCACTCCTCCCCAGTGCGAAAGAATGAATCGGTGGCCGCCGCTGCGACAAAAGGGGCAAGAGGCTCGCGATTACGCCTACCAGGCTCGAACGAAGGGGCTGCGTGTCATAGCCTCTCGACCGGCCCCTTGGAAAACCTACTTTTGACCTACCTTCCCTTCCTCCCTCGGCCAGAAAACGTGACGACCCACGGTTCCCCGGATGAAACGATCCAATCGGAGATCGAGGGTGGGCGCACGCCGTCCCTATATAACCATGGGGTGAACTTTGCCGGATTCAACAGTCTCCTCTTAGACTTTGTCGTGCCTTTGGTTACTTCGATTCGCGTACGCGCACGAATTGTTTTCTTGTCTTGTCGAGCGTGGAAAGCGACGGTCCACGTGGTGAAACCTGCTCTTCGCAGAGAAGAAGTGGAACAACATGTACAACAAAGGTGACGTGAGACTGTTCCGGCCGTGGAGCGTGAAACCGGAGGAACATCCTGCGGATGACGAACGTCCCTTCACCGATCGAGAAGACACGAATGTTGGCATCCTCGACGAGATTCTCATTGGATCCACCGAGATCCAAGAGCCAAGCAGTCTTCAGTCGAAGCGAGCCAAGCAGCCTTCAGTCGAAGCCGGAACAGATAGATCGAGATTCGCCAAGGACGAGGAATCTTCTCCAATGAGGAACAAGGATTCGCAGTTCTTCCCTCCTCGTTTCGCTGTGGAAAGCTCGTGCCGATCGGTTCGCGCGATACCGCCATCGAGCTTGAATATCCCGCTTATCGCCGGCTTCGTCGTTGACAACGATGTCTCTGTTCTTCATTCGACCTACCAGCAAGACTGTCTTTTAGGGGTGAACCTAAATGCTTCGCTAAACCTACCGCAATGCGTCCTTCACTCGTCGATGATGGATCGCGTGTTGAATCGAGTTGCTAGCGCTCCAGTGACGTCGATGCCGCACGCTTTGTACACGCCGATGGCGATGGAGCAGGCGGTGGAGATGCTGCACCGGCAGGACGCGGTCGCGAAACAGATGAAGAAGCAACGGCCGAAGAGGTTTCGATGCGAGCACTGCGACGTCGCGTTCAGCAACAACGGGCAGCTGAAGGGGCACGTCAGGATACACACCGGTGAGTTTCAATCTTCTAGAACTGTGTGTTGTTGTCCTCGGCAATTTCAACGTGTGCGAACAATCGAGCCACGAGCCTTTCGTGCAATCTCTTTGCTTCTGAATTTCCCAGATATTGAACATAACTCGAAGAATTATTATCGTGAGAGTTCGTTCTTCGATGATACGAATGTCTCGATGTTTCAATCTTTCGCACGTCGATTTCGAGGTTTCGATTCGAACGTTTCTCGAATAATTGAATAATTTAATTTATATTTAATTTTCACGTTCTCGAATAATTGAATAATTTAATTTATATAAATGCTGAATAATTTAGCAATAGAATTATTGTAAGAGTACGAATTATTCAATAATGATATTTTTATTATTTTTAAATTTAATATAATATAATAATTTAATAATTTTAATATAATAACACAATTAATTAGTATTTAATTAATATAATTATACAATATAATCATACAATATTTATTAATATTAATAAAATAATATAATGTATTATTAGTAAAATAATACAATTAATATAATAATATAATTATACAATATTTATTAATATTTATTAAAGTGATACAAATATCGCTTCAATGATATTCGCTAATTTAATTTGATAAATATTCTACAATTTATTCTTCTATATTTATTAATATTTTTCTACATCAGTGACGTTCACCAATTTAACAACAAACATTGTACAATTATCGTTATTAAAAGAACGAGAAATTACTGCAAGAGTGCGAATCATTATTCACGAGTTTAGTTTAATAAACAGTGTATTATCTCAAGTGAATTATCCTTCAAAGCGAACGTTTACGATAAATAAGGATTCTCTGTTTAAATTGTTTCCAACGATCTTCAATATCGCGAGAAGAAAGAAATGTCTGAGGATACTTTTCTTTCCCGTTCACAGGTGAAAGGCCATTCAAGTGTGACTTCGAGGGCTGTGGCAAGACGTTCACGAGGAACGAAGAGCTAACGAGGCACAAGAGGATTCACACGGGCATAAGGCCGCACGCGTGTTTCGTTTGCGGGAAACGATTCGGTAGGAAGGATCATCTGAAGAAACACATGAGGACGCACGAAAACCGAGATCCTTACCGACTAACGGCCACCACGCTGGGAATATTCGGCCAACATCCATTCTCACCTTACAACTTTCAAATGTGATACACATGTATTCACATACTTCGTGTCACCAACAACGAAATCTCGCGGTCGAGTTCTATGGTTTTTTTTTTTTTTTTAGGGTAAATAGCGATTGAGATTATTTATTCCCTTTTAATGAAGAATTTCCTCGTTGATCTAATGATTCAGAGACTATGTGTATATATATATATATATATATATATTATTGCTATGATTGTCAAAGTGATAACACACGTCAGAAGTCGATGATCATCGCAACAAATATGTATGAACGCGAACTAACGTTTGTTATATTAGTTGTTACGTTAGATGATATATTAGATTATAGTTAGATGTTATATTGACATGAAGTAAACGATCGTTGCCTTGATATTAGAAGAATGATCCTTCCTCTTTATTTTTTTTCCCTTTCTTTCTTTCTGAGAAGGATCGCAAGTGTTAGCGAAGTGTTTTCCATAAATAAGAAATTTTTTCTACCGTATTTTTGATACTATGGCCTTTTGTACGAGAATATACAACGATAATAACAATTGTATCGAGTCTAGTCGAATTCAAATGCAATACAAAATTCCCCGCAAAAGAGATTCGAACTATTTGCGCTATATATTTAAATGATAATAAATTGTTATCCCTGCTGTTGACAATTCTTTGCCGTTGTTTATATTGAATTCTTTACCTAGCCTTTCCTTCAATCAGTCCAATTTGTAATTATTCAACTAACATAATTATTTAGTAATTATATTAGTACTATATATATTAGTACCATATATTAATTATATTAGTACTATATATTAATTATATTAGTACTAATAGTTATATTAGTTTTAATTAATTATATTAGTATTAATATAATTATTTAGTGATTATATTAGTACTATATATAATTATATTAGTACTAATATTATATTAGTATTATATTAGTACTAATAGTTATATTAGTTTTAATTAATTATATTAGTATTGATATAATTATTTAGTAATTATATTAGTACTATATATATTAGTATTATATATTAATTATATTAGTATTATATATATTAATACTATATATTAATTATATTAGTACCATGTATAATTATATTAGTACTAATAGTTATATTAGTTTCAATTAATTATATTAGTATTAATATAATTATTTAGTAATTATATTAGTACTATATATATTAGTACTATATACTAATTATATTAGTACTATATGTATTAGTACTATATACTAATTATATTAGTATTATATATAATTATATTAGTACTAATAGTACTATATATATATTAGTAATATAATACATAGTAATTATTTAACTAATATTCAAACGTGAGACTAAGGATATTTTCAATTGATTTTAATCAATCTTAAAGTTCAAGAAAGATCCATATATCAAACTTGGATGAGTCTTAAGCAGAAATTCACTAATGTTAAATAGCTTAGTTATACTAGTTCGAAATTACAGAAAATGACATAACACTGATAACTCTAACATTAAGACAAATTTGAATTTTCATTTGGCAACTACTACAATCTAGCGGACACTTGTTCAGACACTTTAAATTTTGCAAGGAGAACTATGAAAAATGAACTTTATATTAGAGTGAATTGTTAGACAAATAGAAACGCAAGTAATCGGAGATATTATAAAATCTGTGCCATCAAAAGGTGCAGATACATATATGGAAGAAGATAGTTCAATGTTTGTAACAATTATCAAACGTCGACTAACAAGATGGCAAAAACATGGAGTGTGGAAAACCACCATTTACCGCCCGACAATTAAATTCAAAATGGCGACACGAAAATCTAGTTAGAAGAACAGAGAAATCCCATTCACGTTATAGGGTGACTGGTAGAGAAGGGGAAAATGAGGGTTGCGCCCTTTTGCTTCCCGGAAGGGTCGTTTGCCGCGTGCAAGCCTATGCCTGCCCTTCCTCTCCCCCTTTTTTTTTTTTTTACCACCGTATTCGTTGCAATACGTTCTTACGCGACAGTTTGTGGCCGCATGCATAAAAGTTTCGGTTGATTTCGGGGTAGAAAGATGCGAGGGATGGTCTGCCACGTTGCGGCGAACGAAAAAAAGTCGAATTCAATTAGCTCTCCCTTCGAGAAGATCACTGTGCTATTATTGGGTCACGTCGACAACAAGATCGTTGATCGTTTAGCGAATTGCATGGTGCAGAAAATTCTAAATTATAGGATATTTTAGAAATCGTGTATGAACGTTAAGTAGCTTAATCTGAGTCTCTGCTCTGTGATTTGGAGGATTAAGAGCATTCCTTTCTAGTAGAATTCTTCCCTACATTTAACGACTCCTCTAACAAACGCTATATTACGTTACAAAATAAAAAAAAAAAATGTCTTTTCAACGATCACTGTTTTCTTCTGCTATTAAATGTAAGAAGCACTATTAAAGTAAGAAGTTTGAAGGTTAAAACGACAAAAGTCAGTTTCGACATAAATGATGAATATCTCTTGTATTTAATGAAGTTGCTGCAAGATTGATCATAATGAATTTTAATTAAAGTCTTCTGAAGACTTTATTATTACACAGAGAAAAAAATATCGTTCTTTGACATTGTTCTGTATTATTTATTTAATATTCATGCAATGTATTTAAAGAAAATGTATAGCGTTGGAACAATATAGTAACAAAAGATGAAAATTTCTATTTCAGCATTGTCATACCAAAACTTTTATTTTTCTCGTTTGCAATAATAAATTTCACTTTACATCGGTTTACCGAATTTACTGCAACTTTCGTCAATTTCGAAGTTATAAAATTTGAAGAAACACGCGTGGAATTCAACTTCTTCTTCTCCAGCATTTCTAAACTCTTCCTTCGCACAGCTAATTCTATTAAACAACGAAAGTGAATGAGAATTTAAAGCGACCAATGAACGCAGTACTGCGTCTTGTCGACACGATACTTTGTCGTTCTTGTGTGATTGAGAAAAACCAGCTAGTTTAGGGTTATGTCCTTAA